TGAGAGGAAGGGAAAGGGAGAGGGGAGAGAGAGAAACATTGGTAAGAACCATTGATTGGCTATCTCCTGCACACCCCTACTGGGGATCGAGCCTGCACATTAGGAAGGTGCCCAGATCAGGAATTGAACCTGTGACCTTTTGGTGCATGGGACAACGCTCAACCAACTGAGCCACATCAGCCATTTTTTTTTAATGGCCCCAACCATTTAAATTTCTTTTTTTTTACAAGAAATCTATGTTTACATGTGCATGTGGTACACACATACGAGTGTTATATATAAACATGCTGTCTACCTGCAGGAATGAATTGCTGAAATCCAATATTGACTTCCTGGGATGTAGCGTATTTAAATTTTGCCAAATTGTCCAAAAGAATAAAGCACTTACTTATTGTCATACAAACAATACAACAAAAGGCACCAACATATGGGTAGTGGCTAACAACTTACACCCACGTTCATCATTCGTGTTTCATGTTGTCTTTTTAGGGTCTTAATTTCTTGGGGGGGAAAATCCACATTTCCAACAATTTATAAATCATCACATTTTTACCTGGGGCTGCCAAACAGTCCATTTTGAAAGCATTTTCCAGAAGCCCAGTTCAGAGCTGCATGTATTCAATATAGGTTAACAATGAGTACTTGCGTATTAACTATAGGTTCTAAGACACATCACCTTTCATTTCTTGCATTTACTGTCTGAAGGGGAGGGACAATTTAACAAGGAAGCAGCTGCAAGAACAATGAACAAATCCAAAGCCAAGTGACTTTTAGAGTTGAGAAGTAAAATACACTGTGCAGCTAACAATTATATTAAGAAATGACAGGTGTGTTCCAAGTTGACTATTTTCTGCAACGAAAAACACAAAAAGCTAACCTTACAGTAAAAAAAGCTCTACTAACAATGGACTACAGGATATATTTCCCCTGCCTACCCCACTTTCCTGGAAACAAATTAATAGGAGCTAATTGGGATTTAAAATAGGTTTACTAGTATTTTACTCTCTTGATGGCATCCCACTTCTCTCTTTCCCCCTTTTCTTCATATAAACATGACTGCAAATTAAAAAAGTACAACCCCAAAGAGCAAGTACATTAGTTTCCTATTGCTCTGTTGTAACAAGGATAAACTTCGTGGCTTAAAACAAGAGAAATGCATTCGCTCACGGTTCTGGAGGTCACAGGTCCAGGCACAGCATGGCCTTCTCTGTTCAGGGTCCCCCAAGGCAGGAAAACAAGGAGTCAGCCGCACTGCGTTCTTACCTGGGGCTCCGAGGGAATCTGCTTCCAAACTCACTCAGGTTGGTTGTTGAATTTTCCTTGTGATTGTGCAACCGGGTCCCTGTTTCATTGCTGGCCGCCCCATCCTCAGCCCTGGACGCCCCTCAGCCATGGTGAGGCCTCCTCCCTGGACGCCCTCCCACATCCTGAATCCCATTTGCCCGGAGGAGCCCAGTCCCTTCTAAGAGCTCACCTGATTGGCTCAAAACCACAAAGGCTCTTACCTCATCTACAGGTGAATTGATTTGAGATCTTGATTCCCTGAGCAAACCCCCTACAGCTGCACCGAGGTTAGCGCTAACTGGGAGAAGGTGTGCGTTCACCACAGTGGGAACCTTGACGGCCATTTCAGAATTCTGTTTCCAAAAGCACGCAAATCAGGATTATAATCTCCCAACAGCAATTCATAGGCTATTTTAATGGACCACCATTTTGGATTTGTCTCTCTTCTAAAAATAAACTCCCTTGGTAAGAGGTCTGCAGTTCAGGCTTAATAGATAACAGCAACATGGAAATAATAATTCTAAAAGCCAATTGCAATTATTTTAAAAATCTATTTCAATCACACCTAAGTAATTGATATATCTCATGGTAGCTTGGTGATTATTAAGTTCTTTTTAACCAAGGTTAAACAGTGACAATAATGCTCAATGAAGTAGAAGAGGCATTAACGATGTGGGAATACTGATATATAGTTATTTGACAATGAAAATGATAATTTTCGTATTATCAGCCATTCTCCTGAATTAGTTAGAAAACCATCTGAAAAGAAGTTAAGACTAGATTGAAGATTGTGGCACAGGTAAAGCCATCGGCACTAGGAATATCCCATCAGCTTTGCTAATGTAAAACAGAGGACTGTTTTATAGATTGTAAAAAGTATCCTTTTTATTGCCCCACCCCCACCCCCTTTCCGCTACTGAAAGTGCAGGTCCATGTGTTAAGTAACCTGGTTCTCCTCAAACTGCCTTTAACCACCTGTGCAATTTCAGAAACGGAGCTTCTCTGGGCCTCACTAGCCGAATCTGTGAAATAAAACCATGTTAGAATTTTACAGCTGCAATGGACCTTTGAAATCATGATCTTTGAAGTTCTACCCAGCTCTAAAGTCATCATTACCCAAATATTAACTTTTAAAGAGGGAAAATATCCCACCTTGTTAGAGAAATGTGATATTTGAATGGATATAACATGGTACGTGGCTTCCTGGTTAGAATATGTTATCACTTTCAATTTTGGATTAAGTGTCTGCAGATGTGTTAGCATTTCAATAAATGAAGTGTCTTGATCCTGGCTCCTAACCCCCTTGCTGTTCCATACACTATACCAGTGATGGCGAACCTTTTGAGCTCGGCGTGTCAGCATTTTGAAAAACCCTAACTTAACTCTGGTGCCGTGTCACATATAGAAATTTTTTTATATTTGCAACAATAGTAAAACAAAGATTTATATTTTTGATATTTATTTCATATATTTAAATGCCATTTAACAAAGAAAAATCAACCAGAAAAATGAGTTTGCATGTCACCTCTGACACGCGTGTCATAGGTTCGCCATCACTGCACTATACTATCCTTTTGCTTATGTTTTCAAGTTCTTTATTTACATCAGTTAATATATAGAATCTTGTTATCCTACAAAATTATAGACACTTCCAAATTCAAAGTCTAATGTATTAAAATCAATTCAGTTTTCCTATAATAATAAGGCCTTGACATCCTGCTTTTGCATAATCTGCAAGAAAGAAGGGAGAAGGCAGAATTCCCAATTATGTGACTCTGAACTTTAATACTGAATTGACATTCCTGAATCTTAATTCAATTCACATTCACTGGAGGTTAGGGTGTACCAGGTTTTGTACCAGACCATGTTTCTGAGCATCTTTTTATCCTAACCACATAGCACAATATCTAGAACTTACTAGGTTCTCACAATAGGTTTCCAGGATGAGTGCAGACAATGCACAGGTCCTGCTTCCCAGGAGCTTACAATCCACTGGGAAAGATGGATTTTAGCCCAGTGAGACCCATTTCGGTCTTTGAACATGCAGAACTGTAAGATAATAAGTGTGTGTTGTTTTAAGCCACTAAGTTTGTGGTAATTTGGCATGGTGGCCACGGGAAGCTAAGCAGGGCCACAGACCTGGTTTCAGCTCTGAAAAGCTCCGTTGTGGCGGCATTTCATAAAAAATGAAGGGCCTGGAGCAGTGAAGGGAGACGGGTGCTGTTAGTCAAATCGTTGCTGCTCAGTGTGGTCCCTCCGAGCAGCAGTGGTGGCAGCCGGTTCGACCCAGACCTACTGAGCCAGAGTCAGCGTTTTAACCAGACCCCCAAGTGATCTGCATTCATATTAAAGTTTGAAAAGCACTACGTTAAATTTATTAAAAACTGCTTTAAAGTGCGGAGAAATCTTTGATTCTTCTTTTTGACACACAAGGTTGCTGACAAGAAAAAATTTAAACACACCCACAAGAAGAACTGTGAGGTTGTTGTCTGTTATCACTGACAAAAAACAAACAAACATTCCTACTGCCCTTGAATCATGAAGAAGGCCCTTCAGCAAAATTTCTGTACCCCTGCCTGCAAAGGATTTTCCTTCTTTGAAAATTCTCAGGAGTTGAAAGATTATAAATGGCAACATTTATACCTTATATATATATTGTACCTTTAAATAGATATTAGAACGCCTGGAATAGTACTCATAGAGCTGTGTTGTGGGGGACACAATAATTTCATTCACATAATACATTTTCTTTAATTACTTTAATATAAAAGACAGCAATGTTCCATATTTCACATAATACTTAAAAAAAGTTTTAAAACCCTCTACTAAGTATTTAATGAAAATAAATTTATTGAAGGATAGCAATGACTACAAAATTAATACTACCAAATCGTTACTGGTACCTATATAAATGGACGGTAGGTGGAGAAAATATCAAACAAAAATACGAACATTTGAAAACTACATTTTATCCAGCCTTTAACTTTTTGCTAAATCTTATGCATATTAGACGGTATATTCGATATTTTTGTAAAGATAGTCAGCTAAGGTAATACCTCAAAGATTTTAAAACAGCCCTCCAGTAACTATATGACATTGCAAATCATCCCATCTGTTTACAAAATTAAAACAATGACCCAACGAGTCTTGCTAGGAAAAGACTCAATTAAAAAAGAGAACATTAACAGAGACTTAGTGATGGTGACCAGAATAAGAAAATTAGCATACACATGAAAGATACATAACTTCCCAACCTAATTCCGTCTGGTTAGATGAATGCAACTCAGTCAGTAAACTGACTGCATTATGAGGGGAAGGGGTAACATGAATCAGAGACCTGTTTTTAAATCTCATATAAGAATCCTATTTCAATCAACCTGTAAAGTAAAAGCACTGGGTCCACATTAAAGTCTTAACATATGTGTTACAATAATACAAAAGTCAAACTATTGTCAACACAGCTTTTTCTCTGCAGTGCACAATATAAGAAAACTTCACGAGTGTGCACTCTTGAGTTATGATCAATGTATACAGTATAGACAAAACAGGCACCTATATTATAATTTTTTTAAATAAATAAGAGCACATTAAGGAAAAAAAAAAAAAAGAAGATAAGCAGCACCTGAAGCCTTTGACATTTGTAACTAAATGCTGGTACCCAAATGTTAGACCATTTTTACTAAGTTTTACTAAGAGGCGCAAAAAAAGAGCCAATATTTGACTTAACATTTTAATTCTAGTAGAGACAAGAGCTTGTGGGGTTACGGCCCTGCCCCCTGATGGTGAGTGGCACCCAGTCCTTCACATGTCCTAGACTTTGGAAAGCAGACCGGACTCTGGGGCACTCGCCTTAATCAGGTTCTGGACTTCCTTGAATTTCGGATGGTCTTTATCCGCCACCAGCTGTAGCAGAACAGCCTCGCTGGTCGTCACTATGATCCCAGTTCGAGCAAGACGCTTTAAAAAGAAAGACAAAGACAAATGAAGACAGAAGCACGAGAATCAACACCACGTTAAAATAGCAAAAAGGACGCTGGGACACAATAATTAGTTTTCTCTATTAAATCCATGGTCCTTAGCTATACTATCGAAGTCAGTGATGAGGACAGACTTCAAACTAACCACACCACAAACCCACTGTGATTATTCTCGATATTGGTACTATGGGCTAGAAACAAGTAAAAGAAAACAGCCCATGTTATGCTTATATGTGCCACAGATAGATGGGAAATCAAGGCTAATGGCTGTGAAACAATGGTTCTCATTTACCTTTTCTGTCCACAAACATGTGACGTATAGCATGTGTGTCCTCCCACTAAGTAAGAAATGACTGGTGGTGGAAGAGCCTCAGGTTTCATTTAAGAATGTGCCCCTTGCCCTAGCTGGTTTGGCTCAGTAGATAGAGTGTCGGCCTGGGGACTGAAGGGTCCCGGTTCAATTCCAGTCAAGGGCACATGCCCGAGGAGGCAGCCGATCAATGATTCTCTTTCATCATTGATGTTTGATCTCTCTCTCTCCCTCTCATTCCTCTTCCTCTCTGAAATCAACAGCAATATATTAAAAAAAAAAAAAAAAGAATGTGCCCCTGGATGACAATGGATCCATCACCACTGCCACCATCGTTAACATGTTGGAAACACATTAACTACAGCATAAAAGTTAAGATTGTATAATTTCACTGACAGGTCAAAGAGTCCTTGCCAAATTGCTCCAGTGGAATCATGATAAAGAACTAAGAACAGAAATGTAAGGAGGGGAAGGAGGGAGAGAGTGAAAGAGGGGGGAAGAGAAAAGAGGGAGGGAGGAAGGCAAACAGGGGGAAGTGGAGGGAATGGCAAGGGAGAAGGGGGAAGGGAGAAGGGAGGTGAGAAGAGCATTCTGGAGTAGAGATTGATTTTTTGGATGTATCTGTTATCAGAAACCCTGGGCAAACAAAAAAACCCCAAACAAACAGCAAAACAATGAACCAACTGTTATCCCCAGAAACATCTGATGCAAGAACCATGGAAGATGAGGTGGTGAGAAAAATTTCTAGGCAAGTCAGAGGAAAATGCCCAGGTCAGTCTCTCATTGGAAAGGAGGAGTTGCTCATTAGATTCCACATATGAGCGACTCCTGGGGAATCTAATGAACATAAATTGATGAACAAAAATAGATCTGAAGACATAGAAGCATCGGACAGACTGTCAAACCTCAGAGGGAAGGCAGAAGAGGGTGGGGGGTGGGAAGAGATCAACCAATGAACTTGTTATGAATATATGAATATGCATATGTTCATAATCCAGGAACACAGACAGTAGAGTGATGAAGGCCTGGGCTGGGGGCAGGGGCAGGCTGGGAGAGGTCAATGGGGGGTAAAGGGGACATATGTAATACTTTCAACAATAAAGATTAAAAATAATAATCTATAATAATAAAAGTGTAATATGCTAATTAGACTGGAAGTTCTTCTGGAAGAAGCTGCGGTGGCAGGGGTTGAGGCAGAGGTGGCGGGGACCAAGCTCCTTGCACGAATTTCGTGCATCAGACCTCTAGTAATAAAGAAAGAAAGAAAGAAAGAAAGAAAGAAAGAAAGAAAGAAAGGAAGGAAGGAAGGAAGGAAGGAAGGAAGGAAGGAAGGAAGGAAGGAAGGAAGGAAGGAAGGAAGGAAGGAAGGGAGGGAGTCGCTTGAATAGCCAGACAGCCCCGTGGAGTGACAGTAAATCCTCCTTCAGATGGCTATTGATCCGCAGGCCCTACCTTCCCATTGGCACACTCCTGCTTTTTACCAAGGATGTAGAAGGAAGTATAGCCACAGCCTGCTTCTGAGAAAACAGGCTTGGGCCTCGACAGCCAGGACAGAGGGCGTGAGGAGCAGAGGACCAGAACTCTCAGGACACGCAAAGACAGCCGGGAAGAATGGAGGAAAGAGGAAGCACAAAGCCAGGCTGCTGGTGCCCCTGATGTTGGCATAAATACCAGAAGGTGAGTTACTGCGGAGTTTTTCCAACACTTCTGGAAATGAATTTCCCCTCCTTGCTTTTCAGTCCACTAACATCTCACAACCTGTAGAAATCTCAAAGGACTGTGTGCCTGCTTCAGACAGAAGGGCAGGGAGCAAATACAGGACTAGCTGCAGCCCAGCTGTCTCTCCAGTCACTCAAACCCCGCTGGTGCCCTCCCCCGCTGGCTGCCCTGCCTGTCGTACTGCTCGCTGTTGCATCAGCGGACTTTCAATATTCAGCCTGAATCTGAATCACACACATTCAATGTCAGTGAAGGTGCTTTAGAAAATCCAAAATGCCAACCAAAGTGAGCTGCCACTCATATTCCTAGTTCCTTAGTGAGGCAGGAAGAACAGAGAGCTGTTCCCAGGCCCAAGGAAGAAATGTGATGACCCAGGAAGAAGCCAGCTTTCCCTAGTGGTCTGCTGACCCGAGCCTGGTCCCCTCAACAGCCTTCAGCGGGGCTGAGAGCCGGTCACAGTGGTGGGGTTGGCCGGGAGGCTCCAGGCACAGAAACACACTAAAACCTATACGATATTACTTGGCTTCAAGACTGACATATGGCCAATATCGATTGGATTCAAAAGTAATCAAGCCAAGAACCTGTGTAGGGGAAGGTGTGGCTGGTGGACCTTCGCACGGTACCTGCCCAGCCCCAACCTGAAAGCAGGGAGGGAACCACAGCAACGTTTCCAGAGCCTGGCAGGTTCCTGCTCTCCACCCTGAGCTACAGGACACCCACAGTGCTGGTCCCAAACCCACTTTCTTTCCCGGCTTTAAAAGGGCAATTAAAACTCCAGCTGTTTTGACCACACACGGGTACTTGGTAATAGGTTTCCAATGTGCTTCCCTTACACTTGCAGTCTCAGTCCAACTAGGCCAAAGGAAAGGAATGATTAGTCTGACCCACAAACGAAAAATGCAAGAGCACAGAACCATGATGGCTTTAGAGAGGACGGGTGTGGGGGGTGTGGGAAGCAAATCCTTTAATTTCCAAGCAACACTAACAACTCCCCAGAAGTACAAGGACATCAACTTCAAGAGAGTGTTTTATTCTATTTTATTCTGCACTTACTCTACAATTATTAGTTGAAAGCAACAATGCCTGCTAGATGGGAGATGCTCAAAGAGTTTTGTTGAGTAAAGCTCACAGCACAGACCCTGGCACAGAAATTCCAGTAATGGCAACTATAAACCTTATTAGTATCATGACCTTGACAGGCCATATGGGTGGTCTCAGGAATTATCTCCAGTAGTTGTCTTCTAAAGGAACCAAGAAGAAGGGGAGCTGGCAGATTGCTATTTAACTTTCAGAGTCATAAAATAAAAAAGAAAATTTAACATTTCTCTCAATAATTTAGGGACAAACTAAAACAGTTCCATAGTAAATTCAGACTAAGCAGAAAACTGAAATGCGGCATGGTTCGCCTACCACTGTCTGACCTGATTCTGTTTTCCCTTTCAACCTCAACACTTTAACTCAGTGCTGTTTGCTTCAAGCTCCTCCGAATCCACCCTAGACCCTATTCTTTCCTTCCCTCCTAAGAACTTCTGGGTCTTGCAAGCTAATACATGCTTATACATTTCTAAGACTAACCTCATGAAGACAACAAATAATAACAATAAAAATAAAAGCAGTAGCTATCATTTGTGATTACAGTGTCAGACACGGTATTAAGTGCTACCAATACATTATCTTATTTAATCCTCCCCAAATCCTCCCATGTAGTGAATATTATTTCCATTTCACTAATGAGCAATCTGAGGCATAGACATTAGATAACTGGTCTAAGGACACACATTTACAAAATGCCAGAACCTGCATTCACACCCATATTAACCCTCCACGGTGTGGACCCCTAGTCACTGAGATCACAGGCTACCTCTCAAGGAATGAGGTTCAGATGACAAAAAGCTATGTTTTTATGTTGAGCCTTGTGAGAAGACAGAATTGCCAACAATAACAATCTTCTGTAATAAATGCCATAATAAAGACATGTCTAAAAAACTTACATGACTGCAGAACAAACGCCCTTGAACTATCTTTATAAACAAGGAAGATTTGTGTTCCTTGTATGCTTTTAGTTTTCACTTCCTTGGAAACACTTCAAGTTCTAGACCTCAGCACTACCAGAAAGATAAATTATCCACAGAGGAACAGAGCTGCTTGCTGGGACAGTGAGGATCTGACCGTGGAAGGGATAAGCTCATTATTAAAATCTGAAATGTGGAAGTTGATTAACTCATGGTTGTAAAAACAGCTTAAAGATCTTTGCTGAGATGGGAAAAAGCAACACTTAGCACCTAAGTACCAGAGAACCCAATAGTCCAAATGGACTTAAAAATGTTTAAACAAAATTAATAAAACTGTTTGTACCCATAATCCCAAAACAGGACTCACTGTGGCAGGAATAAAATAGAGAAGGGATGCCTTAAACAAATGCTGCTCCCCACTTGCTCTGCACCAGCCCTCCCCACCGACTCTTCTCCTTTCCACCTCTGATTCTTCCTCATTTTCCCTACCTCACCATCCCAGGAAACACTGCAGGCTAAAAAGATGACAGCCATCCTACAGAGAAAGTGGTTCATAGGCCATCAGTTAAAGAACTCAGCAACTCAATCTACATGTACATTACTCTAAAATCATTATAGGATTAGAATTAAACACACACACACACAATGAATCTTCACAATATGGAGTGAATATTTCAAAGGACTATGATGCACATCTTGACACTCTAGTCAGAGAACCACGATACACTGCATGTGAGTGGCATGCACAGTCCGTGACATACCTCCTAGTCCCAGAAATTCAAGTCTGAGGAAACCTCACAGGAGGCTGAACCAGGCTTAGGCCCATTATGCCCTCGGTTTGGCTAGATCTTGGTTGAGTTAAACCTAGGTGAGCTGTTTTTAATTTGCAAATCTCTAAATGGTTCAGGCTCAGCTTACTGGAATTTCTCCTAGTTCATGCATAAATCTCTGGCAAAGTTATGACAAAAGACATCAAGAAGCTCTTGGCGTCACTAGTTATCTAGATCTAAGGAGACAGCGGAGATAAAATAGGATATGGTGGTGAGATCTCAAAGGTCTCTGCAAACCAATGCATCTGATGCTGTCTGACCAAGCTCAAATTGAAGAGGTAAATCCTGCATTGCTGTCAAATATTCAATGCTCTTCAAACTTATTTGGAAAACTTGGTAAATGACTTATTGAACCGCAAGACAATTACCTCGAGAGCAAACATCCTGTCCATCATGCTTCTCGATGAGGTGGCGTCAGCCACGATATGAACCTCAATACCTCGGCCGACGAGCTCCAGGGCTGTTTGTTGGATGCACACGTGAGTCTAGAAGGAAAGTAAGAAATCATATGTAATAACGCGGTAAATGTAAAGTATTCTGCAAATGTCCAACCACGGCAGGTCTAATGACCTTGTCCTAACCTAGTTTTGCCTCTAACCTGCTAGGTAACCTTGAGCATAAACAGCATCTCTGGTTTAGTTTCCCCTTTCTAACGCCAGGAACTGGATTACTTCAGCGTTCCTGATACTGGGATCCTTGACCATGTTCTTAGAGCTCTGTGAGGATTTGTTAAAAGGTTTTCCTCTCTGTCAGCTGGATGACCTTCCAACAGCTGATGCTACCACCCAGTTTTGATGCCACTCACAATTGGGTCTATTTCTGAATTCACACCAAGTGCCTAATACAAAGAATGAGCCTGCAGTACCGCAGACTGAGAAAGTAATGGGAAAACTGAGTTGTTACTAGGCGCCCAGGAGTAAAGGTAGGCCAGGTTAAAAATAACTCGTGACACAGGCAAAAAATACCCAGTGTCCCAGCACATGTATTATACAGGTTCCATCTTTCCAAGTACTAACTTGTAACAAATGGTTAGCGGAAAACATAAAGTAAAAACATGCTCCAACAATAGCTGGGTTATACAATGAATGAAAGCAGATCCCAATAATGCCATGATGCCAACCTTATCTTATATGACAAGAGAATTTTGGAGAATTATCAACTGACAGCTCAGCTCACTGCAATTAGCACTGGAGGACTGCTCAAAGATCATCTTCATTAGGCACGAGGTCTAATAATGATGAACGAGCAGAAAAAAGTGCAAAAGTCAGCAACAGCATTTGGTGCGACATTTATACAAAAAGGCTTCCTCTATACTGTCTTAAGATATTTAAAAGTACATCGAAACCTGAGACTACATCTTTCTACTGTTAAAACCTACTACTATAAGGTTTTAGTAGTATAAACCTACTCTCAAAACATCCTAAGTACATTAAATTAATAGTTTTTGGATTTCATTGTTTTTAAAGTAATTTTAAATTTAGTTCAATAGTTGTTGAAAAGCTGTAAGTAAACACATATTCTATTTGTACATGTCCAAGAAAAACAAATCAAACAAAAAATCATTTTAATCAGCATTAGGAATCCATGAGTATTTTTTTCCTTTAAAAAGGTATGTACATGGTTTGAAATGTGAATGACCATGAACTACATGACTTCTAAGGTTTTTCTAGAGCAAAATTATGACCCAAGGTGAAATCCTACAACACAAAAATAATGCCTTTAGTAGAACTGTGTTCCAAAAGTAGTGGTTAAAAGTAAAAGCCCAAGAATTTATCAACCTAGATTGCAATCCAGCTCCATCCCTTAATGTTAGACAGCATCTGTGTTTTAGTTTCCTCGTCTATAATATGGGGAGGACTTAGCGTCGAGGGTTGCTATGAGAGTTTAATGAATTAACATATAAAGTGTTTAGATTACTGCCATGCAAATAGTCAACACTTAATAAACGGTGGCTATTTTTCATCAGGATTACCTCCTACATGGTATTCTATATACAAAAATGCATTCCGGAATCAAGTTTTCTACAAATGAGATTATGTCCACAACATCACAAAAGGTACTTACTTCTACTCCAAATAACACAACGCTCCTGACTCCAGGAATCTCTGCTAACGCCGCTTCCACCTCTGGTAACACCATGGAAAACTTGGTCTTTGGAAGCACCAGTTTCACACCCGTTAAATCGATTTCTTGAACAGTGCTTCCAAGACCTTTGGGGTACTGCTCTGTTACAATAACCGGAATTCCTAAAATCCGGGCCCCTTGCAACTGGAAAGAAACCACACACACAAACAAAAAACCCCCGCAAAGACAATTAGTAACACGCATATATATATATGAATGTATATCCTGCTTTAGTAAATTGGAAAAAATAAGCAAACGTACCAATCTTTGTCCCACACTAATAATATCCCCAAAATACTTGATGGCTGGTCGGAACCTTTCCTGCATATCACAGCAGAAAAACACGGTGCTCGAAGGTGTAAGATTTCCCAGGGTAGTGAGCTGAGGAAAAAAAGAAAAAAGAATGAGTTAGCACTCATTATCCGATGACATTTATTTTCGGTGGAGGTCAATAAAAGAAGAAAATGTTTCTACTGTTTGATCCACTAAGTCAATTTCTTCAACTATTATCCAAAAGAAATGATCTAAATTACAGAAAAAAAATTGTCCACAAAGATTTCCAGTGAACGGCTTTTAATAGTGAAAATTAGCAATAAATCTGGCCAACAATACAGAAATGATTTCACAAATTTTAACATTCACAGGACAAAACATTTTTTAGCCAACTAAAATAATATATATATATATATATATATATTTCAAAAATTTGTACCACCTAAGAAGAAATGCTTATAATTTACTGTCAATTTTAAAAACAGAGCACAGTTCAATAGTATTCCAATAATGTTAAAATGTGAATAAGAAGTAGAAGCAGGCCCTTGCTGGGTAACTCAGTTGGTTAGAGCGCTGTCCCCATAAATTTGATGTCTGCATTTTAAAACATATTTATCAAAATCAGAGGCATCGGGTTCGATCGCTGGCCAGGGCATGTATGCATAAATAAGTGGAACAACAAATTCATGTTTCTCTCTCTGTTTCTCTCTCTGTCTCTAAAATAAAAAAATAAGGTATTTTTAAAAAGTAGAAGCAAATATATAAAAATAAGAAGTGGCTATATATAGGGTGTCCTTAAAAATGTATACACACACTTTGAATAATTATAAAGGCAGTGTTTATTAAAATACAGTTCATTTTCAAAATTGAGCTATCAGCTGTTAAAGTGCGTATATGTTTTTTTTGGGATAACCTGTAGTTAGGAGAACTAATAATATTTTCTCTTTATACCTTTTTCATATTTTCCAAGTGCTATTTAAAAACATTTTCTGAATGCTATTTAAAAATATGTATTACTTTTATAATAAAAACAAACATTACAACAGTAAATAACTTAAAGTTGATGATGGCATTGCTTATAAGTACAAAATAAAATTGAAAATAACCTGTAATAGAGACCATGGAACATAAAACTAAAGAAAGCAGACAGAAACAAATCCAGAATTATTGCCCGTCATCAAGACAGAAATAATTTTTGTTTAGTAAGTTAAAAAAAAAAAAAGACAGGAATATTATGATGCTATTATTAAGAATAACTTACAAGTTCACAAAAAGGCAATGAAATGATGCCAACCACATCACCAATGTTAAATGGACAGACATAAATTTGATGTCTGCATTTTAAAACATATTTATCAAAATCAGAGGCTTCAATGACAAGATGAAAACTGGGTATCAGATTACCAGGCTTTGCATTGCCATAGTTGGTCTATTCTAACAACTTGGGCCCAATATGAATCCACCAAGAAGTGAAATCATTACTGAATATAAGAATTTAACCAACTGGATTCTTAAAAGTCCATGGTGCTTTTCTTTCCACCTTCTCAAATTACAGAGAGCCATGTAAAGCATTCAGTCTGGTCCTGAATGAACCCACACCACTATTCTTCTAGCCAATCTGCTAATTAACCTGTTTTTCTTTCTCTAAAACCACTCCCCGATGATAATTACCAGTAATTTTCTACAGGAATCCGTGTCTCCATTACACAGTGGTGGCTGCATCATTGCCTGGCCCTAGATGCCTTACTGCCTCAGCACACAGCATACCCTCAGGAAACAGGTTACTACAGGAATTCAGTGAATCATTAAAAGGAATCTTTCATCCTTAATAGTATGACTGCTCTAATCAGTTTTCACTTTATTCCTCTTTGCCCTGGTCTGAGGGATTCTGGTGCTTTAATCTCCCTCTGGTGTTAACTCCATAAACATGCACTGATTAGCCATGTGCACTCCAACACAAGTTCACGCAGAGCAAGTGACACCTGTAATTCAAACACAATGTATAGGGTTTCCTACTTTGCCAATAAAGAATATTAAAATAAATATCCAAGCATCTTATATTATATACTAGAGGCCCGGTGCACAGATTTGTGCATCTCAGCCTGGCCTGTGCCCTCTCGCAATCCGGGACCCCAGGGGTGATGTTGGACTGCTGGTTTAGAAACTGGGGAAGTTTCTAAATTGGAAATATGTGTATTGAAGTCTGTATTATTGAATGTACAGACTTGGCCTTGAGTCCGCAGGCGGACACTCTATCCACTGGGCCAAGCCGGTTTCGGCATTTTCTCTCATCATTGATGTTTCTCTCTCTCTCTCTCCCTCTTTGAAATCAATAAAAATATTAAAAAGTGAATAAATAAAATATTGTTCTTAGTCAAACATTTACATGTTGCAACCACAAGATAACAAAATAAAAGTGGATTTGACCAAATGCAGTGTGTGTGTGTGTGTGTGTGTGTACACCCTTTAAATATACACATATTTAAATAGAAATTGTATAATTTCTGCATACCCCAGGGATGCAGTAGTGCCTGAAGCGGCAGGCGGCCAGGGAGAAGCCTGAGCCCAGGCTGGGCACCGCTCCCGCTCAGCCCTGCCCCGCTGAGCCTGCCACCACCGCCACCACCACCGCCACCGCTGCTCGGTAATCTTGCTGAGCAGCGCTCCCACTGTGGGAGTGCACTGACCACCAGGGGGCAGCTCCTGTGTTGAGCGTCTGCCCCCTGGTGTTCAGTGTGTGTCATAGCTACCGGTCGACCTGTTGTTTGGTCGTTTAGGCTTTTATATATATAAATTCTATGGGATTAAACACTATGTATAGGGTTTTCTTAGTTTTAATTAAACTAAATATTGAAGCATCTTAAATTATATATGCTACCTTTGGCTGCTTTCTTACATATATTTTTAATGAAAATATTATGCCACCATTTTGGTAATTTTTCAAAAGCTGTGAATGTAATATGTATACAGGTACTTAGGGCAGCGGTCACCAACCGGTGGTCTGTGGACCATTGGTGGTCCGTGAGGTCCGAAAGATTGTTGACCACTGACTTAGGGGACCATTTTTAAAAGAATCATTCTTTATGTCTATGTATTTTAAACTCTCAGTAAACATTAAATCTTGGTTACAAAGGTTCACAATCTGTATTATTTTCTTCTTATAAATTTGAATCGTAGGTCCCTAGTCATTCACAATGTGTTTAGGGCACACTATGAAAAGCAGTTTATCATCAACCAGCCTGTTTTAAGTGATAGTAATAGAACTCAGCCAAGCTCAACACTCCCCGACAGGGGGAAGCTAGCAAGCATGCAAAATAAAACTTCCGGGCAGCTGCTCCTATGCCGGAGACCTACTTAAATCTCCAAGATCTCACACTCTATTGACTAACTCAAGTTTGGTTGTCTGGATTCTAAACTCATAGATGGTTATAAACAGCAAATGAGAAAGCAAACTGCTGGAGACAGGCAAACTGACAGCAGCAAGAAATGACAGCTGACCGAGAGCTTCAATGCACAATAAAAGCAGATCAAAACTCAACTTGTCCTACAATCTAGACCTCTAGTGAAGGAATAACAAGCTGTATAAAACTTATAAATTGGAATAATATCATGTTATCACACACATTAAGAAAATGTTAAATTATATAACATTTTGGGACTATAATATATTTTAATGATTTTTTACAGCGAGGAAGGGAGAGGGATAGAGAGTTAGAAACATTGATGAGAGAGGAACATCGATCAGCTGCCTCCTGCACACTCCCCACTGGGGATATGCCCGCAACCAAGGTACATGCCCTTGACCGGAATCGAACCCGGGACCCTTCGGTCCACAGGCCAACGCTCTATCCACTGAGCCAAACTGGTCAGGGCGGGACTATAATATAAAATGGTCAAAATATTAAAAAATATTTTGGGTACTTGAAGACATAAAACCTTACCTACCCGGAAATCCTAAATATTCAGAGTTGTGATCTCCTGGGGTTCCTATTCCCTGGTGCTTCCCTGTACCTCATTTCAGTGGTGAGGTATCCTGTTGTGGGCAGGGGACCACATCAGATGCATGTCACATTAGACACAGGTTGAGGAGGTCAGAAAATGCAGCCCTAAAATCCTCACTGCCCTGAAAAACCTTTCTAGTTCAGGAACTCATCATCTATAAACGTTCAGTGAACGAAGAAAGAAACCAGAGAGATAAGGTGGCAAGGCACTTTTTTTTTTTATGCCGAGATGACTGGTTATAATTTAGTGAACCAAAAATGCCTAGATGGTCTCCTCTCAAGGAGTTAAATTCCCAACATCCCCTTGAATGTGGCCTGCACTTAGTAATTCACTTTCTCAGAGTAGAGCAGAGGGAAGAGGGTAACTTTATAGTGGAAAAACCTGGCTAACACTGCCTCAAATAGATTAAGGTGAAGTAACCCCCTGTCTGGCGTGGCTCAATGGTTGAGCGTTGACCTATGAACCAGGAGGTCACAGTTTGATTCTCCGTCAAGGCAAGTGCCCAGGTTGAGGACTTGACCCCCAGTGTGGGGCGTGCAGGAGGCAGCCGATCAATGATTCTCTCCCATCATTGATGTTCTATCTCTCTCTCCCCCTCTCCCTTCCTTTCTGAAATCAATAATAAAAATATACTTTAAAAAATACAAATTTTTTAACCAATGATGTTATGTTGATGGTATGTAGCTTTCATATAATGTGAGAATGACCTTCATAATCTTCCTCTCAAAATCCCACAACTCCAGTCTAAGCATGAGAAAAAAATCAGATGAATTCAATTTGAGGTACATTCTATCAAATTATTTGGCCAGGACTCCTCAAAACTGTCAAGATCATCAAAAGCAATGGACGTCTGGGAAACTGTCATAGCCCAGAGGAGCCTACGGAGACATGGCAACTAAATGTAATTAGTATCCTGGATCGGATCCTGGAACAGGAAAAGGGCATTAGGGAAAAGCTAGTGAAATCTGAATGAAGTGTGGAGCTCCGTTAATGTTGGTTCCTTGGTTGTGACAAATATGCCACAGTAATGGGGGGAAGCTGGATATAGGTCACAGGAAGTCTCTGTGCTATCTTTGCTATAAATCTAACATTATCCTAAAATAAAA